TAAGCTAAAGTATAATCTTGAAAAGACACCAATGTGCAGATTTAAACTTTTGGAACAAAAAATCCTTGCTCTTCAAACCACCATGGAATGCCTTATTTCAAAAAAAAATTTTTATCACAACTTCTTTTCTTCTTCTTCTCTCATTTTTTTTCTTTTTTTTTATATATTTTCTTCTTATTGCCCTTTTCCACTTTTTTTTTTATTGGCACCCAAACCCAAGAAGACAAAGATATAGACATTCATGATGCACTTTTCAAAGTGAAAAAACCAAATATAACTCACACAAAACACTTGCTACAAAACAATGAATGAAATGAAAGTGAAGGCTCAAAGGGGTGAACAAAGGTTAAACATAAAAGGGTTTGTGTTTAGGTCAGAATGGGTTTAGAATAAAATGCCTCTATCATATGCATCTTGCTCATATCAAAATGCAGTCTCAATGAAGAATTAGGACAACTTCTAGAGGATCATAGGACTGGAGAGTATGCACACAAATTCAGAACATATAGGCTCAAATTTCTTCCATGTGGGTTTTCTCTCATCCACTTTAATTGAATCATATCTAGTCACTAACTTAATTGCAACCAAAATCAGTCCCATGGTAAAGGTTTGTAACAAGAATAATATCAACCAGGCATAGATTCTGATATGATTGCAAAATGGATTTCCAACTTGCAAGAATACATCAAGGGTTATGAATTGATTCTCAAAAAGGTTTTTGAACAAACAAAGTGTTAGGTGAGCAAATCCAATTGTCTCTCCTTAAAAAGGTTCTAAACCAGCACAATACAATTACTCAGTGACACTTTAGCATCAAAAAGGAGGTGTTCACCTTCATTCAGGAACAGGCGCTGCAGCGCCTTTCAAAATAGGCCACGACGCTTTTCACATAACCGAACTTCCATCAGGCGCTGCGGCAGATTACTCAGAGGGCCACGGTGCTTTTCACAGAACCGAATGTTCCAACAAAAATCATCATTCAAATCCTAACAAATACAGCTTTAAATCACAGGAACATGCAATGCATTATTAAGAACCAAAAACCTTTGAATTAAATCACATGTTCAGCTACAAAACATGGCTTAACTACTTCAATCACAACTCAAATATCAAAACAATCACCATCTAACTAAGCCATCAGCAATACTTATCTCCCCCACACTTATACAAAGTATTGTCCTTAATACAAAACCAATGAGCTGTGCAAACAAGGAAAAACCAATTAAAAGAAAACAAACGAACAAAGATTTTCCTAAGCTAATAGAGAAGGGTTTCCCCCACACTTATTCTCTTAACAAGTTCAAATATGCAAATAAAAGTGCATGAGATAAGGTGGAAGAAACAACCTATAGCCTCATGGGGGGTGGAAGTGCTCATGATACAACTTGAGTAAGTGACCATCAACTTTCAGACTTTGGCCACTTTTTTCATCTATTAATTCAACCATTCCAAAAAGATGTACTTTGGTGACTACATAAGCCCCATCCCACTTGGTTTTTAATTTTCCATGTTTAAACTTGCACTTAGCCTTGAATAATAGGACCTTATCACCCATATGAAATTGTTTCCTCATAATTCCCTTGTCATGAATGATTTTACTCTTCTCCTTATAGGTTCTAGAGCTCTCATATGCTTCCATTCGAATTTCTTCTAGCTCTTGCAGTTGCAATTTCCTCTCCATTATAGTAGCTTCAAAATCCAAATTACATGCTTTAATTGCCCAATAGACCTTGTGCTCTAGTTCAACCGGGAGATGGCAAGGTTTTCCATAAACTACCCTATAGGTGACATTCCTATGGGTGTCCTGTATGCAGTCCTGTAGGCCCACAGAGCTTCTTCCAATTTAATGCTCCAGTCCCTTCTTGATGGTTTAACTATCTTCCTTAAAATCTGTTTAATTTCTCTATTGGAAACCTCTGTCTGACCATTAGTTTGGGGGTGATAAGCTGTGGACATCTTGTGAGTAACTCCAAACTGAGAGAACAATCCATTTAAGAGCTTATTGCAAAAGTGAGTCTCACGGTCACTTATCATAGCCTTAGGGATTCCAAATCTTGTGAAGATATGTGACTTTATGAATTTTGAAATTGTGACTGCATCATCTTTCTTTGTGGGAATAGCTTCGATCCATCTTGAAACATAATCCACAGCCAAGAGAATATAATGATTTCCAGAGGATGGTGGGAATAGACCCATGAAATCTATACCCCATACATCAAAGATTTCACAAAAGAGAATAGGATATTGAGGCATCTCATTCCTCTTAGTATTACCTCCAAACCTTTGGCACTTGTCACAACTCTTACAAAACTCATAAGCATCCTTAAAGAGGGTAGGCCAATAAAATCCAGATTCTAAAATCTTCCTTGAAGTTTTCTTAGCACTAAAATGGCCTCCACAAGCATGAGAATGGCATGCCACCAAGATACCTTGAATTTCTTCATTTGGAACACAACGCCTAATCAACTGGTCATTACACATCCTCCATAAGTGAGGTGGTTCCCAAATGTAATACTTGGCTTCAATTTTGAGCTTCTAAGTCTGAAAATGAGACAATGTAGCAGGGATTAAACCAGTAGCTAGAAAATTAACCATGTTTGCAAACCATGGATCATGAGAAGCTATAGAACAAAGAATAGCAGTTGGAAATTCATCACAAATCAGATTAGGGTCAGAAACTCCCTTAGTTCCTATTGGTAATCGACTCAAATGGTCTGTAACATGGTTTTCAACTCCACTTCGGTCTTTGATCTCTATGTCAAACTCTTGCAGAAGGAAAACCCATCTTAAAAGTCTAGGCTTAGTGTGTGGCTTGCCAAACAAAAACTTGACAGCAGCATGGTCAGTAAAGACAACCACTTTTGATGCAAGAAGGTAAGGTCTAAATTTGTCTAAAGCAAATACAATAGCATAAAGTTCCTTTTCAGTGGTTGTGTAATTAATTTGTGCATTGTCAAGGGTTTTTGATGCATAAGTAATGACTTGAGACAGCTTATTTACTTTCTGACCTAACACAGCTCTAATAGAAGTATGAGATGCATCACAAGCAAGTTCAAAATCTAATTTCCAATCAGGTGCAGAAAGTATAGGTGGAGAAACAAGCATGCTCTTTAATGAATCAAAAGCCTTTTTGCAAGCATCATCAAAAACAAATGCCACATCTTTTTGCATGAGCCTAGAAAGAGGGTTTGCTATTTTGCTGAAATCTTTCACAAATCTTTGATAGAAACCAGCATGTCCAAGGAATGACCTAAGTTCTTTCAAGTTAGTTGGATAGGGCAAAGAAGCAATAACTTCAATTTTAGCTTTGTCTACTTCAATTCCTTTTCTAGAGACTAGATGACCCAAGACAATTCCATTGTTAACCATAAAATGGCATTTTTCAAAATTCAAAATCAAATTCCTATCAATGTACCGAGATAAAACCCGATCTAGACTTTCCAAACAATCATCAAATGTGTCACCATACACAGTAAAATTATCCACAAACACTTCCATAGATGAGCCTAGAAATTCACTAAAAATGGACATCATAGCCCTTTGAAAAGTACTTGGGGCATTGCATAGCCCAAAAGGCATCCTCCTGTAGGCAAATGTTCCAAATGGACAAGTGAATGTGGTCTTGTCTTGGTCTTCCGAAGCAATAGGAATCTGGAAATACCTTGAAAAACCATCTGGAAAGCAGGAATTAGTTCTTCCAACTAGTCTTTCAAGCATTTGATCAATAAAAGGTAGAGGAAAGTGATCTTTACGTGTAGCATCATTCAATTTCATGTAATCAATGCATACCCTCCATGAGTTTTGGACCCTTGTTGGAATTAATTCATTCTTTTCATTTTTAACAACAGTAATACCACTTTTCTTAGGAACCACTTGCACAGGGCTAACCCACTCACTATCTGAAATTGGATATATAATTCTAGCACTCAAAAGTTTACTCACTTCCTTTTTCATGACATCTAAGATGAGTGGATTAAGTCTACGCTGTGGTTGTCTCACTGGTTTTGCTCCCTCATGAAGTAAAATTTTATGTGTATAAATGGAGGGGGTAATACCAGGAATATCAGCCATAGACCAGCCTATTGCTTTCTTATTTCTTTTCAAAATAGTGAGTAATTTCTTCTCCTCAATATCATATAAGGAGCTAGCTATGATAACAGGCAATTTATCGTTTTCAGCTAGATATGCATATTTCAAATGAGAAGGCAATGGTTTAAGTTCCAACTCTGGTGGTTTAATGACAGAAGGTACTAATTCCTTAAGCTCCAAAGCTGCTAGACATGCTGAAGATATGCATGGGGAATATACATGATTACAAGAAAACTCCCTATCTCGAATTGTAGAGTCGAGCATATCCTTTCCCCTTATTGCTATGAAAGAATTAGCTACTTGTTGTTGCTCACCTTGACTTTTCTTTCTTTGGTCCACCTCTGTAGAAAGGCTAGAAAAGAAATTAGCAAGATATCGTATAGTGTGCAAAGAATTAGCACAATTAAAATGAAGTGGAATAGAAGAAGTAAGTATAAATTCTAGAGCAAAAGCTATGTTTTCTTCCCTTTCCTTGTTCAATATACCTTGAGCTAGCTTTTTCACTTCTGTAAAATCAGACACAAAATCCTTTCCAAGCTCTTCGCTTGATGCATGAGAAAATACCTCATCATTAATAGAAGAGAGATCAAAAGAAAAAGATGACAAAGTGGAAAGTGAGCTATCAACTGTCAAAGAGTCAATACTACACACGTCATCATTATCATCCAAAAATGAATCAAGACAGAAAAGAGAATTGACATCAAGAAAAGAAAAACCAATATCCAAAGTTTCTTCTTCATTTAATTTATGCAAAGAGGATTCATATTCTTCCACAGCCTCATCAATCAAACAATCAATAGCATTGACACCCAAAAGTGAATAATCTTCACAGGGATGTTTCATTACTTCATAAACATCAAATTGAATTTTCTTATCCCCTACTTCCATGGTTATGTATCCATCTTTCAAGCTTACACTGTATTAGTAGTCCTAAGAAATGGTCTACCCAAAACCAGTGTTTCTTGAACATGGGGTAGGGTATCCATATCCAAAACATAAAAATCTGCAGGGATAACCAAGTCCTTGACATTCACCAAGACATCTTCCAACAACCCTTTTGGCTTCCTAATGGTCCTATCAGCAAGTTTTATTAACATGCTAGTGCTTTTAATAGTTTGAATGCCTAAAGATGTGTATAAAGAAATAGGCATCACATTAATTGCAGCTCTTAAGTCCAAAAGAGCATTAGTAATATTCAATGGACCAACAGTGCAAGGTATTGTGAAAGATCCAAGATCAGCACACTTAATAGGTAGTTGAGGTTTAAAAATGGCAGAAACATTAGAGCCCAATTGCACTTTCTCATTAGGTTTACATTTCTTGTTGTTTGTGCATAATTCTTTTAGAAACCTCATGTATTTAAGTACTCCTTTCAAGAAATCAAGTAAAGGAACATTCACAGCAAGTTTGCCAAACAAATTCATAGCATCCTTCTTAAGTTGATCATTAGATAACTTTCCAGATACTAGAAATGAATTAGGAAATGGTAAATCAAAAATTTTTACCTCCTTCCCTTTCTGCTTGATGATTTGAGAAATATGTGTTGGATTCTTGTTGCTTATGACTCCTATGTTCTCCTCTTGCACCTGGGAAGATTCAGCTTCTTCCTTATCTCCAGAATGTGTATGAGAGGTTTTCTTTTGCTGTAAGAGTGTCCTCTCTTTTCCACTTTCAGATTGCACAGTAGGTGCAGAATCTTTTTCTGAACTAGAATCTGATTCCTTGTGACAGCATTCTTTTGTAAATCTTAGTTTCTTCTCACTAGCCCCTACCTGCTTCCCACTCCTTAAGGATATTACATTCGGAGACTTTGGATTTGTCATAGTGTTGGAGGGTAAATTCCCTCCAATTTTAGCTTGCACCTCACTTAATGAGTTAGCTAGTTGAGTGACATAGCCAGAAAGATTGTTTGTTTTATTTTCCCATTGTTCAAACTTGCTATCAAACTTACATTCTATGGCAATAAGTTTGGAATTAGAAGAAGCTACAGTGCTTTCAATCCTTGCACCCAAATCACTCATTCCTTCTTTCATACCTTTAAGCAACTCAACAATACCATCGTTTGAAGAAAGAGTGTTCTGAATAGGAACTATGACTCTTGAATTTGACTCGAAAGATGGCCTTTGATTCTGAAATTTCTGTTGTGAAGTTAATTGCCTATCATCATTGGTCTTCCACCTCAAATTAGGGTGATCACTCCAACCCTCATTATAAGTTGAGGAATATGGGTTCCTCTGTGAGTATTGTCCTTGTCTGCCTTGATACATAGCAGAAACTTCTTCATAGTGACTTGGGCAATCATCACTCATATGCATGGTTGAGGCACAATGTTCACATAATGGTCCAACTAATGCTTGTAAGTAGTTGACAACACTATAATTCTTCATATTTCTTTGCTTTTCTAAATTTTTCACTCTTTTGTTCATCTTTTCGGTGATATGCAACAATCTCTCCAGCAAACTATCTTGTAAAGGGTTTGCAGAAGACACTTGCCCTCTTTGAGATTCTCTTGTGTAGTACTATTGATTGTTGTTGGCCATCCTCTGTTGGAAATTATGCCATAGGGGCCAATCATATTGCTATGAACATTGTTGATTTATGAATTTATTAATTATATTATTTGCATGTTTACTGTGATGACTATCCTTGGATAACTCACGGTTTATCCTAAATGTCCCTGGTCGGTCATCTATGTGGGAGCAGAGATGAAATAAGACCAGTATGACTTTAAAGATATATAGAGATATAAATTAAAGTCATAGGCACATGTAAGAGTACAAGGTGTTGGACCGACCCGCTATGAGAGAGCTGCATGGGTTAAGTCATAAGCTTCTCTCATATATAAACCATGTCACTGTGCCCTCTGACCTGAGATCATTATGGATTCCTACATGAGAAACGCTTAGCTTTGACCTAGTCAAAAGTCACTTTTGACCGAGTGATCATAAAGACTATGTTCAGGCTTAGTGGTTTTTCATGCGGAGGAATGTGAATGGTCAAGATGGAATTTGTCCCTCACATTCGTAGAGAGATATTACTGGGCCCCTCAATGAGTGAGTCTGAGAAATGTATGGCCATACTATAATGAAAAGGTAGTTCTATTTCTATACTCAGACTACTCAGGGATCGAGAAAGTAACGGTCATAAATAGGAGGATGACGTTCTCCATGCCTCATCCATGACCAAAATGTCGTGTGACAAAAGGGACGCGATATGGTTGTATGAAAGGTTACATCGTTCAACGATCCTCATATGATTTGGGTAGTCGTGATGTCTTGCTAGAGACCGCTTACGACTTGTGAGTCATTATAGTTAATGGCCCACTACCAACTTCATATGGGCCTACAAGGTCGCACACAAAATAGCCCAACACGAGTTATGATGTCCAGATTCATTGAATCTAAGATATGTCCAGATTCAATGAATAATATAGGGTGGACGTGTATATATATATATAAATTCGTATATATATACATATTATATAAATATAAGAGATATTAATTGTTAGATTTAATTTATAAGGATAAATTAAATCTATATAAATTAATTCCGTCATATCTTTGTTTTGAATCAAATAAATAGGTGAATTAAATTTGTGAGACGGATTTAATATAAACCATATTTATTTAATTGTTCTCTTATCTGATTAGGCAATATTTGATATTGTATTAATTTCGGAATTAATTTAAGATTAATTTCGAAATTAAATATCATTCATAAAACCTATAGCATCCTATATATTTGATATGAGGAGTTAGGGTTTTGGGTGTGAGAGTGAAAGCACTTGCAGATAAGAGACGGCCAAAAGGAGAGAAGGGAGGACGGATTCTTTGAAAACCCTAGACGGACAAAGACGCTAGCACGTCGTTCGAGATTGAGAGCTATTCGTGTGGATACCGATAGAGGAAGCTGACCGGAGTTGTCGACTTTGAACGACAAAAGGAGGCGAGCAGAGGCATCCTGAATGGCGAAATCACCGAGCCACCAAGAAATCAAACACCGAAGGTAATGCTTCTTACTACTTGACTTAAACACGATCGGTAGATCCGGGCAAGGGATTGAGTTTTTTTTTTAATTTATTTCTGTTGCGCATTTTTCAATTCCCTTCATCCTCTCTAATAGACTCCAGGCACTATTAGGAGTGAGCTCTAGGATTGATCCATGTGCAACAACATCAATAGTCTCCTTATAAGACACTAACAATCCTTCATAAAAGTATTGTACTAGGTTTGATTTTAAACATTTTTGGTTGGGGCACTTGCTCAATAAAGCTAAAAACCTAGTCCAATAGTCATAGAGAGACTTTTGGTCTTGCTGAGATACTCCATAGATTTCCTTCCTAAGCCTTGAAGTTTTTGAAGCTGGGAAATACTTATCTAAGAAGGCTTTCTTGAGTTGCTCCCATGTTAGAGTTGAGTAATGTTGAGGAAGGGTGGTTAACGATTGTCTAGCATTTCCCTCAAGTGTAAAGTGGAAAACACTTCTTAATACATCTTCTAAAAAAGCTCTGGGTGGCTTCATAGTTGCACAAACTATATACATCAAGTCCAAATGCTGATATGTATCATTACTTGCAAGTCCATAAAATTTGGGTAAGGTACTGATCAAACCACCTTTTATCTCAAAACCAAGATCATGAGCATGAAACCCTCTAGGTATACAATTAATAGTTGAGTTATTCAATTCCCTAATACTCCTATTATCATCATCAGGGTTCCTAGGAACATGGTACTATATGTTCTCAGCTTCTTGCTCATCTTGATGCTGCCTATTAGGGGATCTTTATGGAAGTCTATAGCCAGTATCATTTAGGTTAGTATTAACCCTATTTTGACCAATATTCTGCCCTTTTTTAGGAGCTGGATTCTCTTGTCCTTCCATTACAAAATGATTGTCATAGAATTGACCCAAATCAGATTCAGAATCAGGTATAGGTTCAATTGACTTACTAACACTAGATGAAGGAGGTGAGTAAGGGTGCATGCTTGTGATTGTGTCAAAATTTTTATTCTTTTTCAACAGTCTAAGTGTTTTATTTATCTCCCTATCCAATGGATAAAATGTTTTGTCCCTGGTCATGCACCAAAGCCACCTAAGAGAATTGAACTAAAACAGCAAAAGTAAGAATCAGGTCTAGGCACGGTAGCCTTTGACTTGAGGCGCCGCAGCCTCTGTGACCTGAAGTTACTAAAAGCTGAGGGAGAAAAGGTACTGCAGCCTCTGTGACTGAAAGTGACTTCCAATCAGGTGAATGCATTGGCAACTGAGATGAAATCATTTCTAAGACTGTAATCAAATGCTACTAAAATCAAAATTCAGAAAAGAGAATGTTTTTAGATTAAAAATCAATGAGATGAACGATTCCTAGGAGGTATAACTTTGCCTCACTGCCTTTCTTGCATCAATCAGAATTTAAGAGCTTTAATTGAATTAATTTCTGATGAGGTGAGATTGATTAAATGGAGATTCAGCCACTTCCAAAGAAATATTAACCAATACTTCTCAAGAATTCAATCACAATGTATAAATCCATAACTAGACCTAGCTAAAGAATCATACACCATTACTCTAAATCAAGAAGATAACTTCTGAATACAATTAACCAAATCTCAACTCACAGAAATGGATAGAGAGGAGTCTGAATCCAGAAACAAAGATTGACAACACAATCAAAATGTTACCGAAATTAAGCACCTATAAACTCTAAACTCTTCCCTGTTTAACCATGGCTTAGGCTCCGTTATAACTCCTAGAAATCCTTGAAGCTTAGTTGGACATGGAGGATGAAAGACTCAAGTTGGAGGATAGGAACTTCATTACAGCAACGGTGATGGTTGGGAAATGGATGATCTGGACGGAGGATTCCAGAAAAGACCCAAAAATGCAGAGCGATGGAGATGAAAAACTAAAAACTCAATCTCAAAACTCAATTCTCCCCTAAATGCTTTTTCTTCCTTGTAATTAACGCCTCCCAACTGAAAATCAGTTCAGGATCCGCGTGCTAACCAAAATAGAGCTCCAAGATCCAGTTCTATTCCCTCCCAGATTCTGTCGCGCACCGCCTTCTGGTTCAAATTGCTAATTTTCGTCATCTGTCGCGGCACCTATGATCATCCACCGTGGCACACATCCAAAACTGTGTCGTTTAGATTAGTGACTATGAGCTACCTGTTGAGCCAAATCGGCCGTGGCTTTTCAAATTCGCTGTGACACTTTTCACAGAGAGTCTTGCCACTTTTGCATACTAAGTCCTTGAGTGTTTGTTTCTTTGATTTCTGGACCTGAATTCTCATGAAATTACAAAACACTCCTTCCAAGCAATTAGTAGTATTTTATCACCATTAAATCCAAAATTAAACATATAATACCATGAAAATCATTCTAGAATTAATGAAATATAGAGAGATGTCAGCTCTCTTATTGACTTGAACCAGGTTGTCTACCTTAGGACATTTCTGCGTAAGATAGGATGGGTTTAGAGTGATCAAAAGAGCTCAGAAGGTATTTTTGGATGAAGTTTTGTGAGAAATTTAAAGGAATAGGTGAGATTTTGACCATTGCTAGAAAACAGGGGTAACGGTTATCGAGTTAGGGTTCTGAAACTGATGAGGGAATTTTAACATTTAAATGGATTTAAGCCCAATTTTTACCTAAAAAATCAATGGAATGTTCTTGAATAAGAACACATGGCAAGATTAGAAATTTGGAGGCATGTGATGGTAGCCACATGGCATCTTAAGTGGCAGCATAACACGCCAAAATGGAGGGGGAGTCAGATTTTGTGCTTTATAAATACCCGCTAATTACACTTAATTGGCTAAAAATTGACAAAAGAGGGGAGGTGCTGCCAAACTAAATTTTTGAGCTTAGAAGTAAGCCTTAGATAGTGCATTTGAAGGGAGAAACACCAAGTTTTGATCAAGGATTAATTGAGGTAAGTTTGAGCTTGATTTTGGTTAAGTTTAAAGCTTTTTTTGGTTAAAATTTAAGTGTTATGGTGCTATCCATTTTCGGTCAAGAAGAGCATGACTTAGGGAAGGATAGAAGCCTTGAAAATGAGTTGCAATTATCATGTTTAAATGGTATTTAGATTGATTTTTAGAAGAAAACCAAGTTAGGGTAATTAGACATACTATTCGGCCACTTTGTGTTATTGGGGTAAGAGTTTGTTTCAATGTGATTTGATGATTTCAATGAGTTTAAAAGGTGTTTTGTGCAGGGGAACACTAAGAAAAAGTGTTTGAAACCATTGGAATCAAAAACGAAAATTTTAGAAGTTACACTACCCTATTTGGCAAAGTTGAAATAGAGGGGA